TGCGTGTTCTGCACATGTACCCAAAAACCTAAAATGCAATAAAAAAATTTTTAAAAGACAATAGAATAGACAACAAAACCAAAAGCTAGGATTTTTTAAAGTATAAAATTAATAAATCTTCAGCTACACTAAATAAAAAAGAGAGAAGTCTTAAAGAAATAGAATCAGAAATGAAAAGACACGCTGAATCTAAAACAATACAAAGCACAGAAACTGCTATGAACAAATATATGCTAACAATTTGAAGAACCTAGAGAAAAAGACAAATTTTCAGACACTTACAAAGACAAAATGAGGAAGAAACAGTAACTATGAACAGATCAATAATAAGTAAGGTAATTGAAAGAACAATCAAAAGCATTCTAAAATTCATATGGGACCAAAAAAGAGCCTAAATCACCAAAGCAATCCTAAGCAAAAAGAACAAAGCTGGAGGCATCACATCACAGAACTTCGAACTATACTGTAAGGGTATAATAACCAAAACAACATGGTGCTGGTACAATAACAGACACATAAACTCATGGAATAGTATAGAAAACTTAGAAATCAATCTGCATACTTACAAACATCTGATCTTCAACATGGCCAACAAAAACAAGCAATGGAGGAAGGATTCCTTATTCAATAAATGGTGCTAAAATAACTGGCTACCCATAGCAAAAGACTGAAACTGGACCTTGCAATTCACTGGATACAGAAAATTATTCAATATGGATTAATGATTTAAGTGTAATACATCAAACTATGGAAATTCCAGAAGAAAATATATGGCTTGGCAACAAATTTTTGGCTAAGTTCCCCAAAGCAATTGCAACAACAATAAGTTGACAAGTGGGACCTGCTTCTTCACAGCAAAAGAAATGATCAATAAAGAGACAATCTACACTATGGGAGAAATTTTTGTAAACTATGCTCCTAATATCTAGAAAAAAGATCTAAAATCCAGAATACATAAGAAACAAACAAATCAACAAGCAAAGAACATCAAAATATAAGCAAAGGACATGAACACACACTTTTCAAAAGAAGGCATACAAGTGGCCCACGAACATATGAAAAATGCTGATAATTGTTAGTTATTACAGCAGTCAGCATGGCTACAATTAGAAAGTCAAAAGAATACAGATACTGGCAAGGCTGTGGAGTAAAGGAATGTTTACACACTCATGGTAGGAAATTAATTTAGTTCAGTCACTGTGGAAAACAATTTGGAGATTTCTCAAATAACTTAAAACAGAGGTATCATTTGACCCAGAAATCTCATTACTAGGTATATTCTCAAAGAAAAACCGATTATTGTACCAAAAGATACATGCACTCACATGTTCATAACTGCACTATTCACAATAGCAAAGACATGGAATCTACCTGGGTATCCATCAATGTTCAATTAAATAAAGAAAATGTGGTACATATCCATCATGGAATATTACACAATCATAAAAAAATAGTAAAATCATGTCCCTGATTTCACCAGATGCACAGGCAATAAAGGAAAAAAATAAACAGGTAGTTCCAGATCAAACTAAAAAAATTTCTGCCCAAAAAAGGAAACAATCAACAGAGTAAAATGTAATCTATGGAAAGGGAGAAATATTTGCAAATATATATATGTCATACAGGATTAGTATCCAAAATAAGGAACTCATACAATGCAATTGTAAAAGAACAAAAACAAAACACAACAACACTCACAAAAATCCCAAATAACCCAACTTAAAAAGGGGCCAAGGACCTGAACCAACATTTCTCCAAAGATGACATATAAATGCCAAACAGATTATTGAAAAAGTGCTCAACAATGCTAATTTTGGGAAATGCAAATTACAGCAATGAGTCTTAGATACACCTCACCACAGTGAGCCTTAGAATCACCATAGAAACACCCTAAAATCACAATTTTTAAGACGATTTTTATCAAAACTTCAAAAGGTATTGTAGACAATGTGGAGAAAAGACAATATTTATATACTGTTGGTGGTAATGTAAATTGGTATAGCATTATGAAAAACAGTATGGAGTTTCCTCAAAACATTGAAGAGAACTACCTTACTATTGAGCATCTCACATCTTAGTATATATCACTACCACAAAGATATACCTACATTCCCATGTTCATTGCAGCCTTATTCACTGTAGCCAACATATAGAAACAACTTAAGTGCCTGTCAATGGATAAATCAATAAAGAAAATGTGTTTTATGTATTTGTTCAAATAATATGATAAACATGACATAATAGAATTGAATGTTATTCAGTCTTAGAAAAGAAGCAAATCCTGCCATTTATAACGACATGGATAAACCTGAAGAACATTATGCTAAACGAAATAAGCCAGATACAGAAAGACAAATAGTACATGAACTCACTCTTATGTGGAATCTAAAAAAGTAGAAATAGAAAGTAGAAGGGTAGCTACCTGAGGTCAGGGATAGGGTAAAATGAGATGTTGGTAAATGGTTAAAAGTTTCAGTCATTATGAAATAAGTTCTGTATATTTAATGTACAAGATGATGATAACTGTTAATAACAATGTATTGTATATTTGAAATTTGCTGAAAGTGTATCTTCAGTATTTTCACAACACACAAAATGAAACTATGTTAGCTGATGTTTATGTACATCAGCCTGGTTGTGCTTATCATTTCACTATATACATTTATATATATATTATATATATATAAATATTGATTACATTCCATATATATGTAAAATTTTTCTTTGTCATTTATACCTCAATAAAGCTTATAAACTTATTCACCCATTATTAATATAAAGTTATCTCAACCTTCTTATAAAAGTAAATAAACATATGAATTCATCTCACAATAAAGATAAGTATTATTTATGGATGCTTTATATATTTGTTTACATACACATAAGATATGTTTATGTACATGCCAAGTGATAATATGAAAGTTCTATTTCTTTAATGTGGGTTTCAGTTTTAAATGTTTAGAAGCCAGTGCTTTATCTCACTGAATTATTACAAGAACACTGTAATTGAGATATTATTCCAATTTTGCAGGTGAGAAAACTCAGATTAAAAAAAATAACTCAGCTTTTTCTGGGTTCTTCCTGAAGAAATAGAGAAATTGGCATTTGAATTCAGGTAAAATGACTCCAAAGTCTGTATTATGTTCACTGTCCCATATTCTTTTATATTCTACAATTATATTTCAAACACAAATTTTAAACTGTATTATATATGTGAAATCTAAATAAATTTTTCATGTCAGAAATGGCTGCTTGTAAATTTGTCTTTGTAACTCCATTTGACAACGTATCAATAAAGCAGGCCTATATTTTAAGAACATTCAGTATAAGAAAACCAAATATTATGGAACAAGTATATTACATGGCTATTTCTCTTTCAAAATTAATATACTATAAAATGGCGCATGTAAATGGGCATTTCAAAATAATTCACATTAGAAAAACTGAGTCATTGTGGACTCTAAGTATATGTATTTTACCACCAAGATCATGTGAATTACTATGAGGCATTTATATCTATATTCATTTTTGCTCAAGCTATATTTATGTGAAACTTGGAGTTAATAGTAAGTTATATTTTTATCAAAAATCCAAAAAATAACAAGTGTTGGAGAGGATATGGGGAAAAAAGAATCCTTTGAATTTAATTAAAATTTTAATTTAGGCCAGGTGTGGTGGCTCATGTCTATAATCCCAGTACTTTGGGAGACCAAGGCAGACAGATCACGAGGACCCCATCTCTACTAAAATACAAAAACTTAAAGGTCAAAAGATCAAGACCATCCTGGCCAATATGGTGAAACCCCGTCTCTACTAAAATACAAAAACTTAACTGGGCGCAGTGGCACACACCTGTAGTCCCCACTACTCAGGAGGCTGAGGCCGGGGAACCGTTTCAACCCAGGAGGTGGAAGTTGCAATGAGCCGAGATTGCACCATGGCACTCTAGCCTGGTGACAGAGCAAGACTCCATTTCAATAATAGTAATAATTTATTTTTAGCCTGTTTAATATTAAGGACAGAAAAGGCATGGGCCTGAAACAGCTTTAGCAAATTGAAAATAATTATCACACCTGGGCTTATATACCTATTTGTAAAATAAATTGATCCTTGGCGATGCTACTGCCTTCAAGTATTTTGAGATGTGGAATTGATCCTTGGAGATGCTACTGCCTTCAAGTATTTTTGAGATATGATCTTTGATATAGTTTGGATATTTTCCGCCTCCATATTTCATGTTGAAATTGGATCCCAAGTCTCTTAAGTGGGGCCTGGTGGGAGGTGTGTGGGTTCTGAGGGCCGATCTCTTGTGAACAGCTTGATAACAGTAAAGAGGGAGTTCTTACTCTAATTCTCATGGGATTTGGTTGTAAAAGAGTCTGGTACCTCCCTCTCCACTTGGTTTCCTCCTCTTTTGCCATGTGATGGCTGCTCTCATTCAGCCTCTTCCATAAAAGGAAGCTTTCTGCAGTCCTTACTAGAAGCAAATGCTGGTGACATGCTTTCTATACAGCCTGCAGAACCACTAGCCAAGTAAATATCTTTTCTTTATAAATTATCCAGCCTCAAGTATTCCTTTATAGAAACAAAGAATAAATTAAGACAGTGTGGAAAATAAGATTATTACTAAAAGCGAAAAATGGAATATCTGGAATGAAGTCACAGTCCTCAAAACTTCTGTTTTCAGTGCAGTAATTATGTGAAAACCATGTTCAGAGCCCAGAATAGTATGATTTTATAGAATTATGTCACACTATCACTAAAGTCATGGTACTTCTGGTAAATATGAGTGCAAAATTCTCCAAAGGGAAATCCAACACACTAGTTGAAAGGGGATACACACACACACACACACACACACACACACACATTTTATATATATATATATATATAGGTATATATGAAATGTATAAAACATCACAGATGCCAAATGCTGATACTTCTGGGTTAACCCAAACCCAGTCCATGGTCATCAAATAGTTTATATTTTACAGCCTAATACTGGATAAATAGCAATGGCAGAAAATGGCAGATAAGTACTGGTTCTTCCTTTTTCTGTGCATAGAGTTTTACGACATTTCTCAGTCTTCCTGGAGTTAGGTGGAGCTATGGAATTGAGTTCTGGCAAATACTATGTGGGCAGAATTGCTAGTTGCCAGATCTAGCCTCTAAACCTTCTTGTGAGTTCTTTGTGGTCTTCCTGTCTTCTGCTCTCCTTAAGACTGAAGAAATGGCATAGCCACAGCATAAAGAAACCTGGATACCTGAAGGAGAGCTTTCCTGCTGAGCTGTGTCAACAGTACCCATGTGAGAATAGACCTTGGTTGTCCTGAATCATGGAGACCTAGAATATACAGCAGTTACCCTACCCTAATGCAAATGTCAAAGTAATCAGCTTCAGTTATAAATTATCTATATCTGCTAGCTACATCTAATATTAAATACTAATATCAAGGTATGAATATTCTACATAAATAACCTTATTTATTTTACCTTATTTCCATTTGCCTCAAAGTGTGCATAATGAAAACAAATAGCCTGGGTTATTTTTAGTGTTCTACATCACACCAAAAACACAGAGAGAGTTGATCGAGTGGAGTCAACAGCTTCAGCCCGTTTGCATGTTAATTCCTCTTTCCTTTAGGACATTTTACTCTTGTACACATTCCGTATATATCCCCAATTCCAGAGCAAGTGTCCCTGGGTAACCTCTAAATTGTTGTGGCTGAGATAGCTAGGAAGAACATTCACTGCCAACTTACACTCTGTTTTCACGAGAAAAGCATGCGTTTCATTAGGCAGAATATTACACATCAAGAATAACTGTTCTATTCTGATTATTGAAGCTAAGAGTGCTGCTGTGTATCTTGTGGCTGATCCCAAATTAGAACATGAAAGCTGAAATTAAAAAAAAAAAATGTGGGCTAGCTTAGCATTTTTTCCAAAGCTGCATCAATAGGAGAAGATGCCCTTTTGTAGCACTTGAAAATGAGTATTTATTTTTGCAAGGAATTTCAGGTGAGAAAATATATATATTTATATTCTTACCTAAGAAGTAACAAATATGTTTCTTCTTTGGCAATAATTTTAGAGAGACTATTTTATTTTATTTTATTTTACTTTTTGAGATGGAGCCTCACTCTGTTGCCTGGGGCTGGAGTGCAGTGGTGTGATCTCGGCCCACTGCAACCTGCACCTCCTGGGTTCAAGTGATTCTCCTGCCTCAGCCTCCCAAGCAGCTGGGATTACAGGTGCCTGCCACCATACCCAGCTAATTTTTTGTATTTTTAGTAGTGACAGGGTTTCACCATGTTGGCCAGGCTGCTCTTGAACTCCTGACCTTGCGATCTGCCTGCCCCAGTCTCCCAAAGTTCTGGGATTACAGGTGTGAGCCACCATGCCTGGCCTGAGAGCATATTTTTTTAGAGTAATTGTTGTCCTAGTCTGCATATCAGTTGCACAGAGCATAAAATAATAGCAATTGTAGAATAATTGGTTCCTTCATGAATTGGATATAAGATTATTTTCTCCTATATTAGTGCATGTAGAGGGTTGTGGGGCATGAATTGTGCATCATACCAAGGGGGAAAAATAAAAATATCTATGAGAAAAAAAGGAAGCATATACATAAGATGGCTTTCATAAGTTCTATCTTGCCCCTTAAAGGCAACAGACAAGAAGTAACTGGCAAAAGAGAAAAGGGGACTTTGAATGCCTAGGCTTTGTCATATTGTACACAGAAGCAACACTATTTTTCTCTTTACCTTCCAGTTTTTCTATGGGGAACAATCAGTTTTCTGCAGGAGTACTCTGACATTATTTTTTGAAAAATCTCTCTAGAGCATTATTAAAACAGGACACATAGATCAAGAAGAAAACACCTGGAAATTGCCAGATGCAGTAAGTCATTCATGATATTTTCCTTGTATTTTTAATGGAACAGGAAACCATGACAGCACAGACTCTGGAGAAACAGCCCAGGCATTAAAGAGGTTAGAAGATTTAAGAATCCTTGAAATCCTCCTAAATAATCAGTGTCACTGGACTGTTTTCTAATTTCATAGAAAACTGTTAAAATTTCTTTCAGCATGTACCTGGTTGGAAGGCAAAATTCAACTTCTGTTATCTATAAAGACAACTATTATAAATACTTTTGACCTAAAGTACCCCATACTAAGGTTAATATCATTATAAAAAAGATTAAATATTGGGTCAAAATATGCACATCTCCTCTCTTCACTTCTCATGAGTGATGCCTTACAGGGACAGTAGAGAGCAGAATGGGCTAATGTGTGAATGACTAACAGTTTCTTCTTGCAGCCCACTAGTGGGTGGATAGTGAGTGCATGTTATATATGTACAGAGAGACTGTGGAAACTTTTCCAGGTTCAGAGGGCAGTGATGAATAACTACTGATGTCCTCATGACCAAGAAATGTAAGTGGTATCAGGCAAGAATGTTCAGTGCCTGGCACATCTTGGCTTCCAAAAGTTAACACACTGAAGATGTACATTTATTTGGGCTCTGGTGGGGTGATATGTAGAGTTAGGTGAAACCACACCAGGTCTGGTTTTCCTTATGATTTAAAATTTGAAAGCCACCTTAGAGAAAAAGCTTCCTTTGAATACCTCATAGCTAGGAACAGGTCTGTCGCAGCTCTTTGAGTGTGAAAGGGCTATGTTGATCATTCCTCATCTCATCTCTGGATCCCCATGGCATCCTATATCAACAGTCAGTATCACAAAATAAGCTATTTGTACTTATATATGCACATATTTATACAGTGCATTTACTTATCGCTTAATTCAACATTTTTCTTAATGTAATATCAAAATAATCAGATAATACATCACATACACAAGAACATTTTGTAAATTAAAGCATCTCATATTAATAATCATATGGGACAACAGGCATAAACTGAAACTTTCCTGAAAGATTAAACCATTAGTCACTCTACATGCAGTTACAATTTATAAACTAAATCAATAGCTCCAATTTAGTAAACCGTTTTGCCAAAAAAAATTTAAAATCTGTTAATATTATGACTAAAAACATCACAATATATATAACAAGCTGGATACCAGTACAAATATAAAATTAAAATCTATAAATAAATTATTATTTTTTTAAATTCAATTTTAGGTTTTGGGGTACATGTGCAGAACATGCAAGATAGTTGCATAGGAACACACATGGCAGTGTGTTTTGCTGCCTTCCTCCCCTTCACCCATATCTGGCATTTCTCCCCAGGCTATCACTCCCCAGCTCCCCCCGCCATACCTCCCCTATTCCCCGCAGTAGACCCCAGTGTGTAGTACTCCCTTCCCTGTGTCCATGTGTTCTCAGTTTTCCTCACCCGCCTATGAGTGAGAATATGCGGTATTTCATTTCCTGTTCTTGTGTTGGATTGCTGAGAATGATGTTCTCCAGATTCATCCATGTCCCTACAAAGGACACGAACTCATCATTTTTTATTGCTGCATAATATTCCATGGTGTATATGTGCCACATTTTCCCAGTCCAGTCTATCATCGATGGGCATTTGGGTTGGTTCCAGGTCTTTGCTATTGTAAACAGTGCTGCAATGAACATTCGTGTGCCTGTGTCCTTACAGTAGAACGATTTATAGTCCTTTGGATATATACCCAGTAATGGGATTACTGGGTCAATTGGAATTTCTATTTCTAAGGCCTTGAGGAATCGCCACACTGTCTTCCATAATGGTTGAACTAATTTACACTCCCACCAGCAGTGTAAAAGTGTTCCTATTTCTCCACATCCTCTCCAGCATCTGTTGTCTCCAGATTTTTTAATGATCATCATTCTAACTGGTGTGAGATGGTATCTCAATGCGGTTTTGATTTGCATCTCTCTAATGACCAGTGATGATGAGCATTTTTTCATATGTTTGCTGACTTCATGTATGTCTTCTTTTGTAAAGTATCTGTTCATATCCTTTGCCCATTTTTGAATAGGCTTGTTTGGATTTTTCTGGTAAATCTGTTTGAGTTCTTTGTAAATTCTGGATATCAGTCCTTCGTCAGATGGGTAAACTGCAAAAATTTTTTCCCATTCAGTTGGTTGCCGATTCACTCTAGTGACTGTTTCTTTTGCCGTGCAGAAGCTGTGGAGTTTCATTAGGTCCCATTTGTCTATTTTGGCTTTTGTTGCCAATGCTTTTGGTGTTTTGTTCATGAAGTCCTTGCCTACTCCTATGTCCTGAATGGTTTTACCTAGATTTTCTTCTAGGGTTTTTATGGTACCAGGTCTTGTGTTTAAGTCTTTAATCCATGTGGAGTTAATTTTAGTGTAAGGTGTCAGGAAGGGGTCCAGTTTCTGCTTTCTTCACATGGCTAGCCAGTTTTCCCAACACCATTTATTAAACAGGGAATCTTTTCCCCATTGCTTGTTTTTGTCAGGTTTATCAAAGATTGTATGGTAGTAGATATGTTGTGTTGCCTCTGATGCCTCTGTTCTGTTCCATTGGTCTATATCTCTGTTTTGGTACCAGTACCATGCTGTTTTGATTACTGTAACCTTGTAATATAGTTTGAAGTCCGGTAGTGTGATGCCTCCCTCTGTGTTTTTTTTTTTTTTTTTTTTTTTTTGATTTTTTTTTTTTTTTGCTTAGAATTGACTTGGCTATGCAGGCTCTCTTTTGGTTCCATATGAAGTTCAAGGTGGTTTTTTCTAGTTCTGTGAAGAAAGTCAATGGTAGCTTGATGAGAGTAGTGTTGATTCTGTAAATTACTTTGTGCAGTATAGCCATTTTCACGATATTGCTTCTTCCTAACCATGAACATGGAATGTTTCTCCATCTGTTCGTGTCCTCTCTTATTTCGTTGAGCAGTGGTTTGTAGTTCTCCTTGAAGAGGTCCCTTACTTTCCTTGTAAGTTGTATTCCTAGGTATTTTATTCTTTTTGTAGCAATTTTGAATGGCAGTTCATTCTTGATTTGGCTCTCTTTAAGTCTGTTATTGGTGTATAGAAATGCTTGTGATTTTTGCACCTTGATTTTATATCCTGAGACTTTGCTGAGGTTGCTTCTCATTTTCAGGAATTTTTGGCTGAGGTGATGGGGTCTTCTAGGTATACTATCATGTCGTCTGCAAATAGAGACAATTTGGCTTCCACCTTTCCTATTTGAATACCATTTATTTATTTATTTTTTCTTGCCTGACTGCTCTGGCTAGAACTTCCAGTACTATATTGAATAGGAGTGGTGAAAGAGGGCATCCTTGTCTAGTGCCAGATTTCAAAGGGAATGCTTCCAGGTTTTGCCCATTCAGTATGATATTGGCTGTTGGTTTGTCATAAATAGCTTTTATTACTTTGAGATACATTCTGTCAATACTGAGTTATTGAGGCTTTTTAGCATGGAGGGCTGTTGAACTTTGTTGAATGCCTTCTCTGAGTCAATTGAGATAATCATGTGGTTTTTGTTTTTGGTTCTGTTTATGTGGTGAATTACGTTTATACACTTGCATATGTTGATCCAGCCTTGCATCCATGGGATGAATCCTACTTGATCATAATGAATTGGTTTTTGTTGTGCTGTTGCAATCAGATTGCCAGTATTTTATTGAAGATTTTTGCCTCTATGTTCATCATGAATATTGGCCTGAAGTTTTCTTTTCTTGTTGAGTCTCTGCCGGGATCATCATCTCAGGATGATGTTGGTCTCATAAAATGGTTTGGGAAGCATTCCCTCTTTTTGGATTATTTGGAATAGTTTCAGAAGGAATGGTACCAGCTCCTCTTTGTGTGTCTGGTAGAATTCGGCTCTGAACCCATCTGGACCTGGGCTTTTTTTGTGTGTGGTAGGCTCTTAATTGCTGACTCAATTTCAGACCTTGTTATTGATCTATTCATAGTTTTGGCTTCCTCCTGGTTTAGGGTTGGGAGGACACAGGTGTTCAGGAATTTATCTCTTTCTTCCAGGTTTACTAGTATATGTGCATAGAGTTGTTTGTTATATTCTCTGATGATGGTTTGAATTTCTATGGAATCTGTGGTGATTTCCTCTTTATTATTTTTTATTGCATCTATTTGGTTGTTCTCTCCTTTCTTTTTATCAGTCTGGCTAGTCATCTATTGTGTTGATCTTTTCAAAAAAACAGCTCTTGGATTTATTGATTTTTTGAAGGTTTTTCGTGTCTCTATCTCCTTCAGTTCTGCTCTGATCTTCGTTATTTCTTGTCTTCTGCTAGGTTTTGAGTTTTTTTGATCTTGCTCATCTAGATCTTTCAACATTGACAATAGGGTGTCAATTTTGGATCTCTCCACTCTTCTCATGTGGGCACTGATTGCTATATATTTTCCTCTAGAGACTGCTTAAATGTGTCCCAGAGATTCTGGTATGTTGTGTCTTCATTCTCGTTGGTTTCGAAAAACTTCTTTATTTCTGCCTTCATTTGATTGTTTATCCAGTCAACATTCAAGAGCCAGTTGTTCAGTTTCCATTAAGGTGTGCAGTTATGAATTAGTTTCTGAATTCTGAGTTCTAACTTGATTGCACTACGGTCTGAGAGACTGTTTGTTATGATTTCAGTTGTTTTTCATTTGCTGAGGAGTGCTTTACTTCCAATTATGTGGTCAATTTTAGAGTAGGTGTGATTTGGTGCTGAGAAGAATGTATATTCTGTGGATTTGGGGTGGAGAGTTCTGTAAATGTCTATCAGGTTTGCTTGTTCCAGGTCTGAGTTCAAGTCCTGGATATCCTTGTTAATTTTCTGTCTGGTTGATCTGTCGAATATTGACAATGCAGTGTTAAAGTCTCCCACTATTATTGTGTGGGAGTTTAAGTCTCTTTGTAAGTCATTAAGAACTTGCCTTATATATCTGGGTGCTCCTGTATGGGGTCCATATATATTTAGGATCGTTAGCTCTTCTTGTTGTATCAATCCTTTTACCATTATGTAATGACCTTCTTTGACTCTTTTGATCTTTGTTGCTTTAAAGTCTATTTTATCAGAGATAAGAATTGCAACTCCTTGCTCTCCATTTGCTTGGTAAATCTTCCTCCATCCCTTTATTTTGAGCCTTCGTGTATCCTTGCATGTGAGATGGGTTTCCTGGATACAGGACACTGGATATTTTATCATCACCAGGCCTGCTTTACAAGAGCTCCTGAAAAAGGCACTACACATAGAAAGAAACGACCAGTACTAGCCATTCCAAAAACATACCAAATGCTAAAGAGAATCGACAAAATGAAGAATCTGCATCAACTAATGGGCAAAACAGCCAGCTAGCACCAAAATGGCAGTATCAAATTCACACATAACAATATTAACTCTACATGTAAATGGGCTAAATGCCCCAATCAAAAGACACAGACTGGCAAATTGGATAAAAAACCAAAAAGTGAATTATTAAAGTTTGCATTTTATTAAGCAGTGAAAAATATGTGAATGGAAGAAACAAGCCACCAATATTTCTAACTAATTTACTTTATAATATCCTAACTGGAATCCTTTCTTTTCCTCTTGCTCTGTTTAATCAGTATCTTTACTTAGTAAACAGAGTAATCTTTTCTTTTTGCTAATCAGATCATGTTACTCTTATGCCCATAATCCTTTAATTTACTTTCTCATTGCAGTTTGAATAAAATTTAATAACTTACTATGGTCTGTGTAACTAGTAGACTCCACAAGCTTCTCCAATTTCATTCCCCACTGCTGTCTTCCACACTCTGTGCTATCTCCCTGCCTTGGACCACTGAATATTCTCAATGTCAAAAAAATAATTTTGAAATTCAGGGCCTTCACATTTGTTGTTTGCCTCACCTGAAATATTCTTCCCTGGTTCCTTCTCATCTTTTGAGTCTTAGCTGAGATTTGAACTCTGCTAAAAAGTTTCCTAAAAGCTTGGGCTAACGAACTACCTTAACTAAAGTAATTTTCTTCTCCCAGTTTTTCTTTTTTATCATAATTCAACATTATTTTTGTTACTTCTTTCATCATTTATATTTAATTAATGAGCATCTCATATGTGTCAAGCATTGTTAAATAGACCATGTTCCCTTCAAAAAGAATTGTCAGAGGCTGGACAGAGTTATCCCAGCACTTTGAGAGTGGTGGGAGAATCACTTGAGCCCAGTTGTTTAAGACCAGCCTAAGAAACAATCTGCTACCCCTATTTCTGTTGTTTTAAAAAGAAAATAATTAAGATTTGTCAAGGAGGCACTCAATGCCGAAATTGCAGTTGAATTGGCATCTGAAGAATAACAAAAAGAAAGCAATGTGTCATATGGAGAGAAGAACAGTCCAGACAGAAGAAAAGGCAAGAGCAAAGGCTTTGACATGGAATGAGAAAGCTGGTGTATCTATTTTACTGTAAATAAACATGTATATGCAATGAGGTCAGATAGATAGGAAACTGAGTGCAGTCAGTCCTTTCTTAATATAATTGATGGGTTCTTGGAAACTGTAATTTTAAGTGAAACAATGTGTGACAAAATGATTGATTTCCTTACAACAAAAGAAGTTTTAAAAAAATGTTAAGGACATGCTGTATGTCATCATGTATAAAGCAGAAGTTTTGAAGAACCTATCATTGGTATTAAGTGAGGGCTTAACTATACATATTGCCTTGAATTCCACTGGAAAGTTATTTGAATCAAAATGAGAAGCTATTACAGAGTTACAAATAGAGAGGCAATAAGTCTAATTTATACTTCTAAAAGATTATTTAGTCTGTTCTTTTAGAGTAGAATATTAGAATAAAAGTAGAAGCAAGGAGACTAATTTGGAGGTTTTACTAGGGTCAAAATGACCTAAGGTGGTAATGATACAAATGCAGAGAAATCAACAAATTTGTGTATTGCAGAGAGTACCAACCCGAAATGCTGACAAACTGGCTGATGAATCACCTGCAGAGAGAACATTTTACCTGGTTCACTAACATATCCTCAGCATTCAACAGCATCCCTGGACAACATGACATTTAAAGTACAGAAGAGAAAGAAAATACTCAGACCTTATTCAAAGTCATACTTTTGTAACAAAGACAAGGATGATTCACACTACTGTGAAGACTCATGTAAAATAAATCTGAAAGTGTTTATCAAATATTATCCATAGAGAGAAGACAGGATGAGCCACTGGCAACTTTCCTTCATCATATAACAGAGCTGGATATTGGCACAATATCAATGTCATATAATATGAGAAAGCAGTGTCTCCTTCAAACATAAGGAATGACTAGTGTGCATTGCATGAATAGATGTGGGCATGTGTATCCTTCATGTTTCCTTCTCTATTGTATTTTTATTGACTTAAGTTTGTGAGAAACAACTCAGGATGGAAAGAGGGATTAGTTTAGTTGAGGGAATATCCATTATATAGGAGCAAGGAATCATGTCGATATACAAATAAGGAAAGCTTATATCCACTTGATTTGTTCACTGTCAACAATATCCCACATAAGCCGATTCAGTGTTGAAGGAAATAATAAAAATGTTCTGACCATGCTCACTGAGTACATGATTCTTTTTAAATAACACAACATGCTGGCTGTCAAGGGGAAGGGTGTTCATATGAGTTTATGAAATGTGAAATGAGATTTTATAAAAACATTGTTTTAAACCCACATCTATAATTTCAAGTGCTTGTTCAAGTGGCATATATAAGTGATATGCTCCAAAATTTAGTGCTCTAAATGTTTCCTCAGCACTGAAATACCACAAGGTTTAATGCTTTGAAAAAGGTACTAGGATGTTTGAAACCGCACCAAACCATGAGACAAAATTCCAATAAATAATATTGTTAAGAACAATAATCAATGAAGTACAACTCTAGGACATACTAAAAAGCATATCCCATTGCTATTACAAAACATATAGAAATACCACCTTACTGCCATCAAAGATTGGATGAGAAACAATTATGTAGGTGACGTGAGGACGGAGGCAGCAAACCACTAAGGCATGTGTATACCTATGTAACAATCCTGCAAGATCTCAACATGTACCCCAGAACTTAAGGTATAATTCAAAAAATTATAATAATAATTGAATAATGAAAAAGAAGAAACAATTCACACCTAGCTCCTCAGTCGTAAAATTTAACTTTCTAGCTTTGGATAGTGATACACCTGTTTAACACTTAGTTGATGAATTGTTGAAAGAAGTTCCAGGAGACAACTCTTCATAATTTCTGGCTAATTCTCTTATCTGAATACCAGAGCTATTTAAAGAGTTTTCAGATTACTGCTACCTGCTAATGCATAATGTGAATGGGGCTTTTCTGATTTAGTAGAAACAAAATGTCATAATAGAAATCAATTAATTGTAAAACTGACCTACAGTTCAAGTTAACCATTACAGAGATTGAAACATTCTTTGGAGATATAGTACAAACAATTTCTCACCACTTACAGATAAAACTAAAGGTAATAACAATAATTTTATTAATATTTTATTTTTACTTTGAAAACTGTAATATAGCCATATAATTTTCCTAGTGATGTGTTACAAATATCCATTAAATATCAAACTATTCAAAATTTGAGAATCTCATAAATGAAAAATACAGGAACTGAAACCAGAAAAACTTGAGTTCAAATTTCAGCTCTGTAACTTACTTTTGTAAATTCTGGCATATCTCTTTCTGTTCCTCAGTTTCTTCATCTACAGTATAGAAACAACATCAATTATGCTTAAAGGCAGTTAAACATATGAGAAATATATATTTATACTACTTAGTATAGCTTCAAGGAATATAGCAAATCTCAGGAGTAGGTTATTATCATGAGATTAGTATTCGGTATTATTAAATTTATTATTTCACTTATACCTGGAGGACAGGAGTTGTTTCTTGGTCTAGTTTCTTTGTATAACTTCCTTCCCTGCAGTTTTAGTTCTTAATATATATGATATGTATAGAGGAATAAATATGTGAGGTTTTATCTACAAGTAGCAATGGCATTCTCTTTCTATTTCCCAAACTCTCTTTCTATTATAATTTTACACTGAAGGGGCATCGACCCTCTATCCTAAGTCCACGTGAAAGTAAAAAGTTAAGGAAAAAGTCAACTTCTTCACTAGAGAAAGATTCTTTTCTTGGAGATATGCTCCAGTGCCTGTTACCTGACAATCTTGTATTCTATCTGCAAGACCCTAGGTAAGGCAAAGCCCAGAAGAATGGAAGAAAAGATAACTTATTTATTAATTTAACAATCGTTTTTGTATCTACTATATACCTGGAACTTTTTTAAACCTAAAGGATAAATCCATAAAGAAAGCAAATAAAAATCACCACCCTGTTAAGTTTGTACTGAAAAGCAGGGAGGAAATTTCAACACACTATTGCAGGATGTGGAAGCAAAAGGAAAAATCCAAGAGGAACAACAACCCTCTTAATCCAAGGAAACAGAAACCAGAGTGGTAGGCACTCTGAGAATGGTTTGGATACCTTGATGAATTCACTTGTAGACCACCTGCTTTGGAACAGTCCTGACTATTTGAAAACCTGCTGAAACAAAGACAGGGAATTGGAACTTTCTATGTGATCATCAATGAATAGAAGTGAGAAAAACTACGGGGAGAATTTCTTTAAGAATGAGACAGTGGGGGACCCACCATAACTGCTGCAATCTCACTGTTAAGATGAGAACATACTGCTCCTTGCCACTCTTCTCCCACTCTATTCTTTCTCACATAAAAAAAAAGAAATATCGTTGTTTAATAAAAAGAGTCTTCCTCTTCAATATCAATATGCATAGTTGATTTTATTTGTCATTAAAGTAATAAGATTCAATATGGGCTTTTTATCACAGTAGCTCATGGTGCAATTTGTGACATTTTTCAGGAAGAGGCTCAAATCCTGGGTCTACCACTTACTAACATCTTTTTAGCAAATTAAAAAATATTTCTGAGTCTCAGTGTCCTCATTGTTAAAATGGGATAACAATCTATTTCAAAGGAAAGTATTTTAAAGTGGTTATAATCATTACTCATATAGATATATAAAATTTATATATCTTAAGTATTTTATTTAACTCCTTATTAATGAAAGAACCATTTAGATATTTTAACTATGTCAAAGAAAATTTCAAAAAGCAGATATATAGACACATTTACAAATAAGTGAAAATGTACCTATGCAATTGCTAATTACATTCTACTGGATATGGCTACTCTGCATATCTAAGGGCAAGAGTGATTTTCATCATGATCTATTTTTTAAAACTTATAAAATTGTTAAAAAAAATGAAGGTCAAGACAAACCTAATGAATGACCTTGGCTAGTCAGCCAACCATCTTCTTTTGCTCATATCAAAATTTCTCACAATTTTTCCTGACAAAGTCATTTTGGGTATTAACTAGGTTATATGTATATAAATTACTAAGCACAATAACTGGAAAATAAAAAGTGCTTCCAAAATGTTGAATCCTGAAGTTCCTATAAGTCTTAAAAATTGCTAACTTGAAACATGAAATTGCAAATATTAGAGTATTTTCAACCTATTGAAACAGCAATATCATATGTTTCAAATTAATATAACAATTATGGTTACTTAGCATAAGAGAAAATGGTCTAAAGTAATTAAAAGCGTTCAAGAATATAAAACTGTATCTCTGTTTGAAGAGAATGTTTCTAGAACTAAGAGGCTTAACTATTTCTATTTTTGATGAACTGATTGCTATTCTTGTGGGTTCTGGAGAAGTCAGGTTTTGCAGACTTTACCAGGTAAAGGTAGACTATTTAAAATTTTAGGGAGTCATTTACCAATGTACTAAGCCACAGTATAATTCCCAGGTTAAATCATGTTAGAAGATACTAAATAAAAAAGAGATTATTTTATGTTACAGTATCTCAGAGATTTAACAATCACAAAACGACTTTTCTGCATTTTAAATATTTATTTGAACCTGATCTTTATTTATGAAGTATTTTCTCTATTGTTCCATTGAATACTGCTTGGGAAAGCAACTACAAGCGTTTGGCTACACAGCTTTGAATGGTCTCTCACTGTAGGTAACACAACTAAGTCAAATTAGGAGAGTTGTTGTTGCCTAGGTGAAATAAGACCTTTACAACCATGCTATTCTATGGCCTTGAAAATAATGAGCTCTACTGTCAAAGTATATCCAGAGTTGGAACACATGTCTAAAACTCCTACTCTATCTAAACCACTAGGAACTCTTCTTGAATCCTATCAGTGTCTCAGTCTTTCCCCTGTGATTCCATTTATCACTTCAAACAATCTACCATCTTAATACAACAGCAGGAGTGATACTTTTTAAAATTTGGGTCAGATTATGTCACTTTTATATTCAAAACTCTCTAGTGTCTCCCAGTGCACTTCAAATAGAACCCAACTCTTCCCATTAAATAAAAGATCCTGCCTGATCTTACTCCAGCTATATCTCTGACCTCCACACCTACTCTTTTCAGTCACACTGGCCTCTCTGCATGCTTCTGCCCCGGGGTTTCTGTTCTACCCTTTCCACTGCCTAATAATCACAGGATTATTCTAATCTTAGAAAGGTCTTCCTGTACCTAATACTTTACCTACTACCCTACCTAAAATAGTTCCTGTACTTTCTATTCACTTTCATTTATCTTTATTTATGGTTGACATCTGACATATATGTTTTGTTTAATTTTCACTTGTCTATTTTCTCCCTCTGTGAATTGCGCATGTTTGAATTTAATTTGTTATGGTTTCTCCTAATTTGATCTTGAGATCTTTCTGTCATGAGTGGCCAGAGGCAATATAACCACTCTCTAGGGGACCCCTGTCTGGGAGCAAGTAAGGATCAAGTGTGTTTGTCAGTTGAAACACAATGAAGTGAAACCTGAAAGCATGAAACAGAAGAAATGTATTACTCACAGATCCAGAAGTTAGAGATATGTAAGCAAGGATAACAGAAAGTCCAGAGGTGGAATAATTCTCAACCAGAAGGTGGAAAGTAAGAAAGAGGGTAATATGCCTTTATCCTGAGCCACAGGAATTAACCCTCAAGCTTTCCCATGGGGGCTGTAAATTGGCTAGTTTAAAGAAAGCACTTAATTTGCATATCTCTGCTGATTAGTGATGTTAAACATGTTTTCATACATTTGTTGTATGTATTACTTTAAGAAATGTTCATTAGGATACTTTAAGACATGTTCATTAAGATCATTTGCCCATTTTTTCAGATTACTTACTTATTATTTTCTGTTGAGATAGTTTCATTATTTGTATATTTTGGATATTAATATCTTGTCAGATCAATAGTTTGTAAATATTTTCACTTATTCTCTAGGTTGCTTCTCTACTCTGCTGATTGTTTCTTGTGCTGTGCTGAAGCTTTTAATCTTGACATAGTCCCATCACTTTATCTTTGCTTTTGTTGCCTGTACTTTTGAGGTCTTATTCATAAATCATTTTCAAGACAAATGTTCCAAAGCATTTCTCCTGATTTCTTCTAGTAGTTTTAAATTTTCAGGTCCTATATTTAGGTCTCTAATATAATTTTAGTTGATTTTGTATCAAGGAAATGTAAAGTAAAGCCACAATGAGGTATCATATCACTGCAGTTAAAATGTTTATTATCAAAAGAACAAAACAGAAGTAACAAACGCCATCATGGATATGGAGGAAAAAAAACTCTTATATACTGTTAGTGGAAATGTAAACTAGTAAAGCCATGGAAGTTCATAAAAAAACTACAAAGAGAAGTATCATACGATCCAGCAATCTCACCACTGGGTATTTATCCAAAGGAAATGAATCAGTATATTGAAGAAACATCTGCATCACCATAGTTTATTGCAGAACTATTCACAATAGGCAAGATATGACATCAACTCAAGTGTTCAATAACAGATGAAGGGATTTTTAAAAAAGTGTTACATGTATACAATGGGATGCTATCAGCCATAAAAAAGAATAAAATTCTGTCATTCATGGCAGCATGGATGTAACTGAAACACATTAATTAAAGTGAAATAAGCCAGGAGCAGCAAGTTAAACACTGTTAAACACTGCATTTTGTCACTCATACCAAAAGGCTAAAGAAAAATTGATCTCATAGAATTAAAAAGTAGAAAGAGGATACTATACTAGATGATGGGATGGGTAGGGGAAAAGGGGAAGAGGGAGAGTTTTGCTAAAGGATACAAAATTATAACCAAATAGGAGGAATAAGTTCTAGTATTCTAGAACTATAGGATGCCCAGAGTAAACAACAATATATAGTTTCAAATAGCTCAAAGGAGGATATTAAATGTTTCAAACACAAATAAATCAGAAATTATAATTATGACTATATGAGACATAATCTCAAAACTCTTGAGATTATGAATTTGAAAATTATACTTATTTGATAAGTACACATACATAAATAAAATAAGACACTTGTGAAGGGGAAACTTACTTACATGACCCTCAAGTTGACCATTAGATTTTATCATGGTCAACAGCTGTGGGTATATCTGGAAATGGGTCAGTGGGATGAAAAACAAGTGAGATACATCATATAGGGAGGGGAAGTTTTAACTAAGCCAATGATGATAGGGTACAACTGGTTTAAAATAACTTATGCTAATCCTTAAAATGAATGCTGAGTCAGCAGGTATATTAACCAAATTTTTGACAGTATGGTTTATGGCTAAAAGTACTACTTACATTGTCTTAATCTATATTTCAGTTGCTATGAAAAGTGTACCTAAAAATATTTTGAATAAAGAAATGAATAAACAGAGAAAGTAAAATAGGGAAAAAAAGATAAAAGTGAAAAAAATCCTAAAGAATAAAAATTATTATAAGAGTCTAGATGGCTCTCAAAGAATGACACTTCCCATTTGTAAACAACATATCCTTTTTTCATTGAATAACACACTAAAGAATCGGATATATCTTTTTATATTGATTCAGTGAAATCCTATTCAATATATATAGTTATAATCAATATATCTTTTTTCATTGAATACACACTTCTTGCACTTTGGTCAATAGATACTTTGACTTTGATTATGTATGCTGGAATGTGAAAAGAAAATAAGAAAAGAACTCTTGAGATTTCTAGAAGCAGGGTAGCCAATACTATATTATGCTGACAAATTTTCAAACAGGATTTGTGAATATGGACATGGATTAAAAGAAAATAGGGACAAAGGACTCAAGATGGCGCTGTGAGAACAACCCAGGATTGGAGCTCGCATTGAATCCACAAACGGTGAGTCAGAGCTGCATTTACAGACTGATCGTTGTTGCCCACAGAACGGGGAAACTCCCAAGTATAAAAAGACACGGGACGCCAGGCAGTACGTCTGCCTGGCGAAGCCGGCAGCTGGGGCGGCGGCCGGCCCTACCCAGCAATCCCCACAGGGCGCGCTTGTCTGGTTGCCCTGTTGAACCGGCAACCTGAGACTTGAGAGGGCTGGACTTGAGACTGAACGAGACTTGGACAGTAGCCCAGCCAAGGGGATTGCAGGGACAGATCGTTTGGGATACCCAGTGAAACGAAAAAAACCGCGATTTCAAACTATCCCGAGCAGACGGTCCGAGACTCTGTGGGGGAGGGGCGTCCACCACTACCGAGGCAACCCGCCCCAACTGAGATACACGCCCACTGCTGACGCAGCCAGCTGTTGCCGAGGCAACCCGCACCAACTGAGATACATGCCCACTGCTGACGCAGCCAGCCGTTGCCGAGGCAACCCGTCCCTACTGAGATATACACCCACTGCTGACGCAGCCTGCCCTTGCTGAGGCAACACACTACAACGAAGAGACTCCGCCGCAGGGCGTGGCGGAGACCACAGCAGAGCCTGCAGGAACAGGGCGAATCACACAACAGCAGGGCGGAGCCTCGGCAGCCAAACAGTGGCTAGTCTGCCTTCTAGCTGGGCAGGACACCTCATCGTACATCCAAAAATAAAGCCCAAACCCCTCAACACAGAGCATTTGAGGAAAAAAAAAAGGGTTTTTTAATGAGCTCTGTTGCAGCACAATCAAACATAGCAGCCTAACAGCCCTGAATGAACAACAGAGTGCACAGCTCAGCAATTAAGCCCATATAAAGTACAAACTGTCTCCTCAAGCAGCTCCCTGACCCCTCTATATCCAAAAGACTGACATTTGGCAGGCATCATCCTGGGACAAAGATAGCAGAAAAAGAAACTGGTAGCATCCCTCGCTGTGCCACAGCTGCTAGAGGTGCACCCCAGACAAGCAGGGTCTGGAGCGGACCTCAGCAGTCATACAGCAAAGGGGCTAGACTGGTAGAAGGAAAACCAAGCAACAGAAATACTTCATCATCAACATTCTGGGTGTCCACTCAGAGACCCAATCGAAAAGTCAGCAACTACACAAACGACCAGCAGACAAATCCACAAAGATGGGAAGACACCACCGCAAAAAGGAGGAAAACACCCGAAACCAGAACACCTCACCTCCTAGAAAGGACCAAAACTCCTCACCAGCAAGGGAACAAAGCTGGATGGAGAATGACTGTGACGAAATGACGGAATTAGACTTCAGAAGATGGATAATGAGAAACTTTTGTGAGCTAAAAGATCATGTATTAAATCAATGCAAAGAAACTAAGAACCTTGAAAAAAGATTTGAAAAAAGATTCGAGGAAATGATAACAAGAATGGATAACTTAGAGAGGAATATGAATGAATTAAAGGAGCTGAAAAACATAATACGAGAACTTCGCGAAGCAAACACAAGTTTCAATAGCCAAATTGACCAAGCAGAAGAAAGAATATCTGAAGTCGAAACAAACTCAATGAAATAAAACAAGAAACCAAGATCAGAGAAAAAAGTGCAAAAAGGAATGAACAAAGTCTCCAAGAAATGTGGGACTATGTGAAAAGACCTAACCTATGTTTGATAGGTGTACCAGAAGGGGACGAAGAGAATGAATCCAAGCTGGAAAATACTCTTCAGGACATCATCCAGGAAAATTTCCCCCACCTAGCAAGACAGGCCAACACTCAATTGCAGGAAATACAGAGAACACCACAAAGATATTCTGCAAGAAGAGCAACCCCAAGGCACATAATTGTCAGATTCAACAGGGTTGAAATAAAGGAGAGAATACTAAGGGCAGCCAGAAAGAAAGGTCAGGTCACCCACAAAGGGAAGCCCATCAGACTCACAGCAGATCTCTCGGCAGAAACACTACAAGCCAGAAGAGAGTGGGGGCCAATATTCAACATTCTTAAAGAAAAGAACTTTCAACCCAGAATTTCATATCCAGCCAAACTGAGCTTCAGAAGTGAAGGAAGAATAAAATCCTTTGCGAACAAGCAAGTACTCAGAGATTTTGTCACCACCAGGCCTGCTTTACAAGAGCTCCTCAAAGAGGCACTACACATAAGGATCAACCAGTACCAGCCATTCCAAAATCACACTGAATGCTAAAGAGCTTCACTGTGCATTCCCAAGCATCTAAATAGTACAGCATTTATAACATTATTCATGGTATATATTACATATATATTAATAGTTGTTTTTGTGGATGTATTAGAAACACTATGGGTCAAAGCAATTTGGCGCATTTTTTCCCAAAGCAATATCTTAAAATTATTAACATTCAGCATGACCAAAATGATTCCTAGTGTTCCATGACAATTGAGATCAGTATTAGTAAAGACATACAAAGAGTGCACATGAAGAGCCCATATAGTCTTAGTCAGTGTCAGGGTCAGCTTCAGTGGCTTTTCTATTGCTGATATCTGGATCCTTAAACTGCTTAAATTGATAAGGGTAACAAGAGCAATAAACCACTGCAAGTGCTACTGATTCTACTCAAATAAGATTGGGACACTGTTTATTCTGATGCATTTCACAGAAAATAGACTAAAATAGAAATTTAGAGCAGACTTATTGAAGTCTAAGGAGATGTAATATTACTAATATCAGTGAATGAGAGAGGTATTAAGCATCTCTTCTGAGTTCCAAATGTCTGTAGGTGATATAAGAAATATAACATTATTTGGTATGATACCTGCTTCAAAAGATGGTTTGGGGAGGGGGATAAGAAAAAAAGATACTAATAATAGAGTAATTAGCATTTACTGAATAACTAAATGATAATTCTGCATTAATATGTCTTTTAATCCTTGAAGTGACCCTACCAGGTAATATTAATATTATTCTCTTTTGAAAGATAGCTAAAATGGAGGTTCATAGAATTTAAATGCTTCCCATAGTAATGTAACCTATAACCAATAAAAGCATGACTCAGTTCCTTCTAGTTCCAAAGTTCTTACTCTGAACCCCTTTGTCATATTGCTTCTCTAGAGAGTAAGAGATTTACTGCATCTTGCAATGTACTTAACATTTTTTTTATCCTGGGGACACTCATAAGTTTCCATTTATTTTTAATCCACCTCACATGGTTGTAATGATGTGACTAAATAATTTACAGAAGTGTTGTAACAGAGATCTTCCTTTAAAATGTCAGTCCCATTTCACTGTTTCTTCAAGATGCTTAAAATCTTGTTAATTATGAAAGATTCACAATATTGTGGAAAAAAATAAAACAGCAGCAGACACTGATGTGAGAGAAGGTCAATGATTACTAGACAATTTAAGGAAGAGTGAAACTCAGTGTCGATTACAAACGATAAAAAGGGCTACATAAATGAAAGAAGAATGGAGAAGCCAAGTAAAAGGATAGTCCACAGGAAAGAATTCAGGAAATCACAACCCTACTTAACAATGACTAAAATTTTACTGTATTTTCTTTTTTTTTCTGCTATCCCCATATTTGAAACACTTACCTCCAAATCATTTGGATATGCAGTCATTTGTACCTACAATAGTGTCACATACACAAAATAAATTACCCTGACATTGAACTAAAAACTGTAAGAATAAATAAGGTTACAGATGCCAATTCTTTCCTTATTCATTTTCTTTTACAATGTAGTATGAAATTATCTTGTTTTAAAATATCTTACAGTATATAAATTATTCAGTAGTTAAAGTGTCAAAGCCCATTTCAAACCATGGATTCATCAAATTTTTATTATTAATTATTGGCAATGCTATTTACAGTTTTGCGAATGACAATATTTGGAATCACAATTACTTTCCTGTATAGAAAAGTTTATGTGACCCTAGCATTTCTACTGCTATTACGTAAAGATGTGGTAACAGAATATTAAAATGGCATTCATTTTTTAATCTTTTAATTTTCTTCTACAACTAGATACCATGCTTTCATTTTTTCTTTGAATGTTGCCTTTTGGCAGCACTTGATCCATGAGAGGCACAGATCACTGTACAACTCTAATTTTAATGTGTTGGGAGCCATATGCACAGATACAGACAGAGAAAAAGACCAGATATGATAATGGAGTAAAAGAAGAGAATGACTGGGTCAGGAGGAAAAAGACTCCCAGAAGGAAGCCAGGTGAAGAAGAAGAACATCAGTAAAAGGTTCTTAAAGATATTTTATGCCTCAGCAAGGAACTGAATGGAAACATTACTAAAAAATACAAATCTTATTAGCTGAGTTCTAACTGGTTATAGTATCTATGAACAATACATACTGAGATAACATAAAAATGTACTTGCACTATTGTCAGCTCAGTCATTTCTTAGAATACTTAATAAGACCACTGAATTTATTTTCTGAGAGTGCAGTCAGAAAATTAACCCATATATTTTAATAGAAAAACAATAATAAAATTAATTAATTTATACCTATATTGATCAAGAAAAAGAGAGAAAATACTAATAAGGATCAAAGCTGTAGAAATACTATAGATAGTAACCATATTGTTAAGGCATATTAAAATATTTTAACAGTAAATCAAAAATTAGATGAAGCTGAAAAAATTATTGAAGAAAACAACCAATAACTGATGCAAGATTAAATACAATATGAAAAGTCAATTATATTGAAATTGATTCATTTTTATTATCATAAATCATTCTGCAAATAAAATTCCAAAAACAGTTTCACTAATAAATTCAGATATCTTATGAAGAAATTATACCAATCACTCAAAATTTGCTGTCTTTTGGAAAACAGATGAAGAAAACTGCCTGTTTATTTGAGATCAACATAACTGATATCAAATATAAAAAAGACATTTTAAAAAAATAAATTATAGAGCTAATGAATATATGCTGTAAAAATCATTTTTCTTTTTTTCAGATTTATTTATTATACTTTAAGTTCTGGGATACATGTGCAGATTGTGCAGATTTGTTACACAATAAATTCTGCAAAATGGTAAAAAAGATATGTCTAACAGTGGAAAAGATGAATGAATCTAATTTTGTCATATTCACAAAAGAAAGAAAAATTAGCAGATGATTCAATTTATAGATGGAGTAATAACATTTAGCAACTCTATTTATGATAAAAACACTCAGAAATGTATAAAATGGAGCCACCTCATTACAACATGAAAAAATACCGTATATTTATTCATTAAATGTTATGAATGAGAAAAAGACAAAGTGTCTACTCCTTATACTACTGCATGGTGATTGGAGAACACACTATGATTTCAATTCTTTTAAATTTGTTAAGGTGTGTTTTATGAATGAAGATGTGCTCTATTTCAACATATAATCTATGGACTCTTGGAAAGAATGTATATTCTGTTGCTTGGAATGGATTGTTACATAAATGTTAATTCATTCTTATTAATGAATAAATGTAATTATTATATTTTAACTGAGTCTTGTATAATACATACAGTTTTAAATTAGATCATGTTTTTAACAGAATCTACCAAATGCTTTCTTTAATTGGTATCTTAAAGCATTTGCATTATGTCTTTTATCAAATCTGTGACGTTTTTAATCATGATTTAAGTGTGTTTTCAATCCTGTCATTTTGCTGTTCTCCTTTTAGGACTGAAATGACATAAATATTACATCTTTCATTATAGTCCCCAAACTCTGAAACTCAGTTCATCTTTTAAGTCTATTATTTTCTTTTGTCGAGATAGGCAATTGTTACTTTCCTATCTTCTTGTTTACTGATTCTTTCCCCTACTCCTTCTCTTGCTGTGTAGCCCATACCTTAAGTTTATTTTGATTACTGTATGTTTTAGTTCTAAAATTCTGATATTATTCTTTATAATTTATGTTTCTGAGTGTTTTACATATTATTTTATGCTTGTTCATATTTGATTTTTGAAGCATTTTTTAAAAAATGGTTGCTTTAATATCCTTGCCAGATAATGCTCACACCTCTGTTATCTTTGCACTGGCATCTATTAAGTGTCTGTTGATTTAGTTTTATTCCTTCCTGTTTCATGGCATGAGAAATGCCTTTATATTGAAACCTGGATATTTTGGGTCTTACATTATAAGACTGTGAATGTAATTTAAAACTTCTGTTTTACTGGCACAACCCAAGAAATGAACGGAGAATTGCCGTTTCTTTCCTGGAAGTTGATGTCCAGATTCTCCACTAGACCTAGGAATACAATTAACAAGGGATGTGAAGGACCTCTTCAAGGAGAACTACAAACCACTGCTCAAGGAAATAAGAGAGGACACAAACAGATGAAAAAATATTCCATGCTCATGGTTAAGAAGAATCAATATCATGAAAATGGTCATATTGACCAAAGTAATTTATAGATTCAATTCTATCCCCATCAAGCTACCACTAACCCTCTTCACAGAATTGGAAAAAATAAAATAAACCTTAAACGTCATATGGAACCAAAAAGAGCCCATATAACCCAAGACAATCCCAAGCAAAAAATACAAAACTAGAGGCACCACGTTATCTGACTTCAAACTATACTAGAAGTCTACAGTAATCAAAACAGCATGGTACTGGTACAAAAACAGAGACATCGACCAATGGAACAGAACAGAGACCTCATAAATAATGCCACACATATACAATCATCTGATCTTTGACAAATCTGACAAAAACAAGCAATGGGGAAAGGATTCCCTATTTAATAAGTGGTGTTGGGAAAACTGGCTGGCCGAATGCAGAAATCTGAAACTGGATCCCTTTCTTACACCTTATACAAAAATTAACTCCAGGTTAGTTAAAGATTTAAATATAAGACCTAACACCATAAAAACCCTAGAAAAAAACCATTTAGGAAATAGGCATGGGCAAGGACTTTATGACTAAAACACCAAAAGAAATGGTAACAAAAGCCAAAATAGACAAATGGGATCTAATTAAACTAAAGAGCTTCTGCTCCGCAATGCTTAGAGTGAAACGGCAACCAACAGAATGGGAATGGGAAATGATTTTTACAATCTTTTTATCCTCTGACAAAGGGCTAATTATCCAGAATGTATAAATAACTTAAAACAAATTAACAAGAAAAAAATAATCCCATAAAAAAGTTGGTGAATGATATAAACAGACACTTTACCAAAGAAGACATTTATGCAGCCAACAAAGATATGAAAAAAGGTTCATCATCACTGGTCTTAGAGAAATGCAAATCTAAACCAAATTGAGATACCATCTCATGCCAGTTAAAATGGCAATCATTAAAAAATCAAGAGACAACAGATGCTGGAGAGGAAGTGGACAAATAGGAATGCTTTTACACTGTTGGTGGCAGTGTATATTAGTGCAACCATTGTGAAAGACAGTGTGGCAATTCCTCAAGGATCTAGAACTGGAAATACTATTTGACCCAGCAATCCCATCACTGGGTTTATACACAAAGGATTATAAATCATTCTATTACAAATCATTCTATTAAATCAACAAATCTGCACGTTCTGCACATGTACCCTAGAACTTTGGCAATCCCATTACTGGGTATATACCCAAAGGATTATAAATCATTCTATTACCAATCATACTATTAAGGCATTCTATTTAACATACCTGCACATTCTGCACATGTATCCCAGAATTTAAAGTATAATAAAAAATAAAATAAATAATTTCATATGGAACAAAAAAGTAGCCAGAACAGCCCATATAATCCTAAGCAAAAAGAGCAATTCTGGAGGCATCATGTTACTGGACTTCAAACTATACTACAGGATGGCAGTAATCAAAACAGCATGGTACTAGTAGAAAAACAGACTCATACACACACACACACAAACAGATAGATAGATATATATATATATAACAGAATAGACAGCACAGAAATAATGTTGCACACATATAAACATCTGAGCTTCAACAAAGCTGACCAAAATAAACAATGGAAAAAGAATTTCCTATTCAACAAATGGTTCTGGATATTCAAACTGGCTATCCATATGCAGAAGATTGAACCTGAACTTCTTTCTTACACCATATACAAAAAATAACTCAATAAGGAATGAAGACTTTTATATTAAAATGATAAAAAGTTCTGAAAGACAACCTAGGCAATACCTCTCTGAACATATGAACAGGCAAAGATTTCATGAGGAAGACGTCAAAAGCAATAGCAACACAAGCAAAATTTGACCAGTCTAATATAATTGAACTTAAGAGCTTCTGCACAGAAAAAGAAACCATCAACAGAGTAAACAAAGACCTAAAGAATGTGAGGAAATATTTGAAAACTATGCATCTGATAAAGGCATAATCTAGCATCTATACGGAAGTTAAACAAATGTACAAAAAAGAAAGAGAAAGACAGACAAAGAAACCACACACACACACACACACACACACACACATTAAAAAGTGGGCAAAGGACACAAACAGAAACTTTTCAAAAGAAGACATATGAATGGCTAAAAAGCATATAAATAAATGCTCAGTATATCTAATCATTAGAGAAACACAAATTAAAATCATAACAAGACACCATCTCATACCACTTAGAATGGTCATTATTAAAAAGTGAAAAAATAGTAGATACTGAGGAGGTTGTGGAAAAAAGGGCATGCTTATACACTATTGGTGGGAGTGAAAATTATTTCAATCATTGTGGAAAGCAGTGTGGTGATTACTCAAAGAGCTAAAAAACAAAACTACATTTGATGCAGCAATCCCATTACTGGATATATACCAAGAGTAATAAAAATCATTCTACCATAAGGATACATACACTTGTATGTTCATCACAGCACTAGTCACAATAGTAAAGACATGAAATCAACCTAAATGCCCAAAAATGACAGATTGGATAAAGGAAATGTGGTACGTATACACCACAGAGTACTATGTAGCCATAAAAAAGATTATTTATTTTGTTGAAATATGGATGAAGCTGGAGGCCATTACCCTTAGCAAACTAATGCACAAACAGAAAATTAAATGCCACATTTTCTTATGTATAAGTGGCAGCTAGATGATGATAACTCATGGACACAAAGAAAGGAACAATATACTGGGGTCTAGATGAGGGTGGAGGATGGAAGAGGGTGAAGAGTAGAAAAAATAGCTAATGGGTACTAGGCTTAGTATCTGGGTGACAAAGTAATCTGTATAACAAACTCCCATGGTATCTGTTTACCTATATAACAAACCTGTACGTGTACCCCTGAACCTAAAACTTAAATAAGGTGTGTATGTATGTGTGTGTGTATATATATATATATATATATATATATATATATATATATGATATATACTATATAATATATATATTCCACCATATTAACAGCCAAATTAATAGCCAAAGAAGAAAAATTACACAAACATATAAATCTGCAAATAAAGCATTTGACACAATACAGTATTAATTTATAATAAAAATAGGAATGAATAACTACCTCAACTTTACAAAAGAATCTATTTTAAAATCCACAATTAACACTATACCTCTTGATGAAAAACTGAATATTATCCTCCTAAAATTCAAAATATGACAAGCATGTTTGCTCTCATCACTTTTATTCAACACAGTGCCAGTAGTTCTTGCCAGTAGAAAAAAAGGCCTGGAAATTAGGGAAAAGACATAGAGATCAGAAACGAAGAAATAAAACTGTCCTTCTTTATAGATTACATAATCTTCTATGCAAAAAAATCCCATAGACTCTAAAAAAGAAAAAAATGCAAATACAAATCTCAAAATAATAAGTGCATTTAACAAAGTTGCAGAATACAAGATCATTCAAAAGTCAATTCCATTTTTGTATAGTAGCAATGAACATGAGAAAACTGAAATTAAAAAATAATATCAAATAGAGTTGCTCAAAAAATGACTTTAAGTGAAAATCTAACAAAACATGTATAGGACTTGTATGCTTAAAACTATTAAAATATATACAAAACAAATATCTAAATATATAAAGACAAACTATGTTCAGGGATTAGAAGATTTTGCACAGTAAAAATGTTAATTCTCCCCAAACTGAAACAGAGACTTAACACAATTTCCATCAAAATCTCAGAAAGATAATTTTTACAGATACAGTCAAAATTACTCTAAAATTTCTTAAGAAAGTCTGAGAAGTCGTAACAACTAAAATGATTTTGACACACAAAAATAAGGTGGGAGGCATCTGCTAAATTAAATCTATCTCCACAAAGATTGTATGGTATTAGCATTGGATTAACAGATAAATGGAACAGAATAAAAATCTGAAAATACACCATATAAATATTCTCCACTGATTTTTGACAAAATTGAAAAGTATTCCAATACAAAAAAAAAGGTATTATAACAATTGGACATAGATAAGCAAAAAGAGAGAGAAAGAGAAAGAAAAGAAATGATAAAAAGAAGAAAAAAGGAAAAAAGGAAGGAAGGGAGGGAGGGCGGGCGGGAGGACGACAATCTAGATCTCACACCTTATACAAAAATAAACCTAAAATTAAATAAATCACAGATTTAAATTTAAAATTCAAAACTATAAAACTTCTACAAAAATTAGGAAAAAAATCTTGAGAATATAGAGCTAAGCAGAAAGTTCTCATCCTGACACCAAAAACATAATCTGTAAGAGAAACTATTGATAAACTGTATTATATCACATTTTTAAATAACTTTGATCTGTCCAAAACTATTCAGAAAATAAAAGAGTAAATTGCAAACTGGAATAAGTAAATTGCAGACTTGGATTTAACTGTCTTTCACGAAAAAAATGTAATGGCTAATTCTGTGTCAACTTAACTGGGCCACAGGGTGCCCAGATATTTGATTAAATATTTTTCTAAGTATGTCTGTGAAGGTTTTCAGTAATGAGATTAACATTAAAATTGGTAGACTGAGTAAAGCCAATTGCCTTCCTTAATGTTCTAATTCAATGAAATGAAGGCCTAAACAGAATAAAAAGCCTTTCCTTCCCTTGAGCAGGAGATAATTCCTTCCTTTCTTACTGCTTTCCAAAGGGACATCCATTTCTTTGTTTTGTTTTGCTTTCTTTTTCCTGTATTTAGACTTGAACTAAAACATCAGCTCTTTTTTGATCCAATGCCAATTTACTTTGCATATCTTAGTACATGTAAACTTTCATAATTCTGGGAGCCCTTTCCTTATAATAACCTCTCTATAAAGATAGATAGATATGGGGCCAGGCACAGTGGCTCAAGCCTGTAATCCCAGCACTTTGAAAGGCTGAGGCAGGTGGATCACGAGGTCGAGAGATGGAGACCATCCTGGTCAACATGGTGAAACCCCATCTCTACTAAAAATACAAAAATTAGTTGGGCATGGTGGCGTGTACCTATAATCCCAGCTACTCAGGAGGCTGAGGCAGGAGAATTGCCTGAACCCAGGAGGCGGAGGTTGTGGGGAGCTGAGATCACACCATTGCACTCCAGCCTGGGTAACAAGAGTGAAACTCCATCTCAAAAAAAAAAAAAAGATAGGTAGATATGTAGGTAGGTAAGAACATAGACTGATAGATAGATTGACTGATTGGTAAGATAGATAATATAAATATCTCTCAAAACTCAACATTAAAAATGTCAAAACTAAAAAACCATGAATGGACACCTTACAAAAGATATTAATATAGCAAGGAAGCACATAAAAAGATGTTCAACATTATTCTTAAGGAAATGCAAATTAAAACACAAAGAGACGTCACTATACACACATCAAAATGTTTAAAATTTTAAAATAATGACACTAAATGCTGGTTACAATATTGAGAAACAAGATCAGCCATACATTGCAAGTAGGAAGACCAAATGGTATAGACACTCTGAAAAGTAATTTGGCTGTTTAAAAGATTAAGCCTGAAACTTAAAAAACCTAAACCCACAACTACCATATGACCAAGTAATCACTTGTGAGCATTTATACCAGATAATTACAAACTTACATTTACACAGAAACCTGTATAAATACACACAAAAAAATGGATGAATTCCCAAAGAATTCTGCTAAGTGAGAACAGCCAATGTCAAAGATTGAGTACAATTTCATTTATATAAAATTATCAAAATAACCAATTAGAGAAACAGAATTAATTAGTGGCTGACAAGGTTAGGAACATGGGGAGAAATGCCAGATATAGGTGATGGGGAGGAAGGCAGCAAATCACACTGCCACATGTGTATCTATGCAACAATCTTGCATGTTCTTCACATGTACCCCAGAACCTAAAATGCAATTAAAAAAAAAATAAGGAAAAGGGAATGACTATAAAATAGGAACATAAAAGATCACAGTGATGTTAGAAATAATCTGAATCTTGACTACATCAATGTTAATATCCTGGTTGTGATACTGTACTATAGTTTTGCAGAATGTTACCATCAGGGGACGCAAGGCAAAAAGTACACAGAATTTAAATTCTTATAACTGCATGTGAATATACAATTATCTTTAAAAAAAGTAATAACTAAAAGAAAGCAATTTTGACCTCTAACTTACCCAAAGAAAGGAAAGTCACTTCAAGGTGGATTATATACCTAAATGTGAAAAATAAAGACATAAAGCCTGTATTAGTCCATTCTTGCATTGCTAAAAGAAATACCTGACACTGGATAACTTATAAAGAGGTTTAACTGGCTCTTGGTTCCACAGGTTGTACAAGAAGCATGGAAGCATTTGCTTCTAGGGAGACCTCAGAAAGCTTTTATTCATGGCAGATGGCAAAGTGGGATCAGGCAGCTTACATGGCAGGAGCAGGACCAAGAGAGAGAGAGACGAAGGGAGGTAACACACTTTTAAGCAACAAGATTTCAGAAGAATTCACTATTCACAATGACAGCACCAAGGAGGAATGGTGTGAAACCATGAGAAAATGCTCCCTCGATTCAGTAACCTCCCACAAGTCCCCACTTCTAGCATTGGAGACTGTATTTCAATATGAGATTTGGGTGGGGACACAGATCCAAACCATATTATTTCACCCCCAGCCCCTCCTAAATCTCATGTCCTTCTCACATTGCAAAACACCATTACACTTTCCCAGCAGTTCCCCAGGCTTAACTCATGCCAGCATTAACTCAAACATTCACAGTTCAAAGTCTCATCAGAGATAAGGCTAGTGCCTTCTACCTAAGAGCCTGTGAAATAAAAAAACAAGTTATCTAATTCCAAGATACAAGAAGTGTATAGGCATTGGGTAAATACTTCCATGACAAAATGAAGAAATCATCTAAAATAAAGAAGCTACAGATTCCATGCAAGTTAAAAACCCAGCAGGAAAGTCATTAAGTCTCAAGGCCCTAAAATAATCTCCTCTGACTCTGTATCTCACACTCAGGGCACACTGATACAACCGTTTGCCTCTGAAAACCTTGGGCACCTTGGCACCTATGGCTTTGCAAGGTTCTTCCATAGCAGCTCTCATACGTTGGCATTGAGGGCCTGTAGCTTTTCAGGCTGAGGGTGAAAGCTATAAGTGCATCTACGATTCTGGGGTCTAGAGGACAGTGGCCTTCTTATCACAGTTCCACTAGGGCTCCACTAGGCAGTGGCTAAGGGGGGACTCTGTGTGGGGACTCCAGCTTCACTTTTCCCCTCTACACTGCCCTAGTAGAGGTTCCTTAGGAGGCCTCCACCCCTGAAGCAGACTTCTGCCTGGACAGACAGGCTTTTCTATACATCATCTGAAATCTAGGCAGAGACTCCCAAGCCTCAGTTCTTGTACTCTGTGCAACTGCAGACTTACCACCATGTAGAAGCTGCCAGTATCTGAAGTGGTAGTCCAAGCTGGACCTTGGACCCTTTGAGCAAAACTGGAGCTAGAGCAGCTGGTATGCAGGCAGCAGTATCGAGAGGCTGTATAGAGCACTGGGCATGGCACATGAAACTCTTCAGTTCTCCTAGGCCCCGGGGCCTGTGGTAGGAGATGCTGGTGCAAAGGTATCTGAAATGCCTTGGAGGCTTTCTTCCCATTGTCTTGACTATCAGCACTTGGCTCCTTTTTACTTACTCAAATTTCTGCAGCCTACTTTAATTCCTCCCTGGAAAATGGGCTTTCCTTTTCTGCTATATGGCCAAGCCACAAATTTTCCAAACGTTTATGCACTGCTTCCTCTTTAAATAAAAGTTTCAATCAGGTCATTTTTTTTTTTTTTGCACATACATTTGAGTATAGGTTTTTAGAAGAAGCCAGTCCATATCTTGAAATTTGTTGCTTAGAAATTTCTTCTGCCAGATACCCTAAATCATTCTCAAGTTCAAAATTCCACAGACTCCCTGGGCAGGGGCATAATCCAACCAAGCTCTCTGCCAAGGTATAACAAAAAATGACCTTTGTTCTAGTTCCCAGTAAGTTCCTCATCTCTGTCTGAGACCTATTCAGCCTGGACTTCATTGTCAATATCACTATCAGCGTTTTGGTCACAACCATTCAACATGTCTACAGGACTTTATCTCATCTTCCTGTCTTCTGACCTCTTGAAACCCTTCCACCATCTGCCTGTTACTCAATTCCAAAGTTGCTCCTACATTTTCAGATATCTTTATAGTAATACCTCACTCTTAGTACCAATTTTCTGTATTAGCACATTCTCAAACATTGCTATAGAGAATACCTGAAACTTGTAATTTCTAAAGAAAAGAGGTCTAGTTGGCTCATGATTCCACAGGCTATACAGGAAGCATGATAGCATCTGCTTCTGAGGAGGCTTCAGGGAGCTTTTACCCATGGCCTAAGGCAAAGCAGGAGCAGGTATCTTATATAGAAGGAGCAGGACCAAGGCAGGCGGGGTCAGTGCCATACACTTTCAAACAACCAAATATCATGAAAACTCACATTCACAATGACAACATCAAGGAGGGACGGTGTTAAGCTACCCATGATCCAGAAATCTCCCATCAGGCCTCACTTCCAGCTGATTACATTTCGGCATGAGATTTGGGAGGAGACACAGATCCAAACTATATCAAAGCCTCTTGAAGATTAGTTATAAAAATATTTTTATGTTCTTAGGGAAGACAAAATTATTTTTACTGAGCACAAAAAGCAATAATCACAAAGGAGAAGAATGAAACATTGGTCTTCATTAAAAGCAAAGACCTTTGTTAATCTAAAAAATGAGATTAAAAAAACTGAAGGAGACATGGCTGGAGAAAATGTCCATGGAATATCTACCTGACTAAGAATTTTTGTCAATAACAGCACTGACATATAGAAATGTGAGTCACATCTCCATACTGACCTGCCCACAATTCAATTGCTTACCCGTCACATGTCATTAGTGTCTACCATACTGAACAGCACAGATTCAGAAGATAAAAACAACTATTACAAGTCACTCAATCTGACTTTTTTTAATGTACACTCTGTAAAAGGTATATAAAAATTAACAACATAAAAGTTAAACCACAATATAGTATAATGGCACATTCACACAAATGGCAATAATAAAAACTATGAAAAATAACAACTTTCAGTAAAGCTGTGAGGCAACTGGAACTCTCATGGTGGATTACTGTATGGCAGAATCCCATAAAGCTGAATGTACAAATTACCTATTATGAAACATTTCTACTCCTAAAGAAATGACAAATGTGAGCTGCAAAAAAGAAGATGAGTATGAAAAGACTGATACCAATATTTGCAATTTTCATAAACTAGAAACAACTATCTGCCCATTAACTGTGGAATGGTTAAATGAGCCATGATATATTCATCTAAATACTACACAGCAACAAAAAATAAATAAATTTCTACTAAGCACAATAGCTACTAAGCACTATGTAGACTGAAAGAAATCAATAAAAGGGCACTTATTTTTGGTTTCCTTTTACATAAATCTCCAAAGTAGGTAAAGCAAATTTATTTTTCTCTAAATCAGAAAAATTTTATAAAGTAGGCAAACAAATTTATTTTGCTCCCTTTAAATGGGGTAATGACTTGGAAAGGTCATGAAGAAGCTTTCTTGATAGCAGCAGTTTTCTATCTCCTAAACTACTTGCTTACATAGGTTTATTTACTTGGTAAAACATCATACAATTATGCACACATGATTTGTGGACAATTTTGTATTTATGCTTTCAATAAAATTAGCTTAATACACTTAGAGTTTTCTTTCATATGAGTTTAATCAGTTTCTACAATCTTCTGATTTCCAGTGGACAATTTTTCAAGTCATTCATTCCAATGCTGCTGGAACTGCACTGACCTACAATCAAGACTGTCAGTGTTCAGTTAAAACCAACGAAGAGCATAATGGCTAAGCAAAAGCAAAATTGTCAAGACCTTATTATTGCAATAAAACATGCTAAGAGTTACACACTGAATTTCCCAGACTGCATTACTGAAATGTTTGCTAATTTTCAAGACAATTTACCAGAAACGGCTGAAGAGGAACTTAATGAAACCGTGGCTGAAGTTAAATTTAAATAATCCAGTGCACTTCTCAAAGGAAGAGTACTCCCCAGCTGGCAAACGGCTTTGATAGTACCTGATACTAAGGGAACTCTCAAAACCTAACTTTGATTTACTAACACTGACTTGCTGGAAAAGCATTTCACACACATCACCAACTTTAAAGAAACATAAAACGTTAGACTGTGGGCAGAGAAAAGAGCAGACACACGTTTTGTCAGAGAATTGAAAATGAATATTCTTAAGGAAAAAACAGTAGTCAGTTTTCAAACTCATATTGTAAATTATAATCATTGTATTATACTCTTATATTCCAGTGTAACCATAATGCTCCCACATTTCAATTATGATATATTGCCATTTCAAAGGTAAACTGGTTAACATCGAGCAATTACAATCATGCCTTCCTTTATCTATCCACATATCATTTATTGTGCTTCCTGAGATACAAATGAATGCTACATTCTAGGATGTATATCCCTATATACATGTGCACAAATGCTCACAAGTATTAGATTGGTGCAAAGTAATTGCTGTTTTTGCCATTAAAAGTAATGACAAAAAAGTAATTTTGAACCTATTGTTTGACCTTTTTTTTGTTTCTTTCTTTTGTTGTTTATGTAAACAACAAACACATTAAAATTATTTTTAAACACTGGTCATTACTTACATTCACAATAAAATGGAAATGTATTTACTGTCAACGTCAAATTTACCTATATAAAAGTGCTTCTTGTCATAAACATAGTTACTATGTTAACAGTTTGAACAACCTACTTACTTGACCTTATAGTTTGTGATAAACTAGTGCTAAACCCACTAGTTATAGTGGGATTTTCTACATAAGTAATGATATCACTGCAAATCATTTTCTTTCTTTCCAATTTGTATCCTTTTCCCTTCTTTTGTTCCTGTCTTCTTGTACTAGCTAAATTTCCAGTACAATATTGAATAAAAGTGGTGACAATGAATAACTTTACTTGTTACCTATGTTAGAAATAAAGTATTTAGACTTTCAACTATTAAGTCTGATGTTAAATACAGTTTTTGTAACAGCCTTTTTTTCAGGTTGATGGCATCTCCTATTTCTAGTTTCTGGAGAGTTTTCATTGTTAACGGATGTTA